CCTTCCAAAGCCATTACCAGCTCCATATCTTTCACATAAATCAGATGATGACAACAGAGTTCTCTGCCATCGGACCCCAACCCTGCTCTGTCTTTGTCTCATTCATCTCATTCCAGCCTGCTCCAGTCACCTGCATCCCATTGACAAATGCGTGCATTTGTTCTTCTGTCATCTCTCTGTTCCTTTAGATCTTCAGTCATCCCTTCAGTTCACTTTAGTCCACTCAGTATTTGCAGACTTCATCCTAAGAGGCATTCGTTGACTATAGATTTTTAAATGTTTTTATTTAAATTAGAAATATGCATGCTTCAAATGGCAATCCCAGCTCCCCCCTCCTCCCTTGTGCCTCCAACAGCCCTCCCTCGCCCCCAGCCCAATCCCCACATCATTCCCCAGGGAAGGTGAGGCCCTCCTTGGGGGATCTCCAGAGTCTGTCATTTCATCCAGGGCAGGACCTAGGCCCTCCCCCATGTGTTCAGGCTAAGGGAGCATTCCTCCATGTGGAATGGGCTCCCAAAGCTCATTTGTATGCTACAGTGAACACTATTCTACTACCCAAGGCCCCAGAGATTTCTGAGGCCTCCTCACTGACACTACATTCATGAAGTCTAGATCAGTCCCCTGTTGTCCTCTTAGCCATCAGTCTGGGGTTCAAGAGTTCGCCCTTATCCGGTCAGCTGTCTTTGTGGGTTTCACCAGCATGGTCTTGACCCCTTTGTGCATCACTTCTCCATCTCTGTCACTAGGTTCCAAGGAGTCAGTTCAATGTTTATCTGTGAGTATCTGTCTCTACTTCCATTAGTCACTGGATGAAGGTTCTAGGATGTCATATAAGGTATTTTAATGTGTAAACACCAATTATTTTCCTTTTCTTCTCTCCCTTACTCTGGTTTTATTTATAATGTACATTGTCGTCTCCTATATTGTTAGTATATTTGCTATTTAGTTTTTACCCCTACCTATCTTGATAAAATATTAACTGCAATATAAAGATAAAATCATTGACTTCACCAGTTTGCATGGTGCCTCTATCATCTCAGATCTGTTTCAAGACCTTATGACAAAGGCAAATGGCAAAGTCCCTGACAGAGTAAGTGGCCTCTAAAACAGCACAGAGGATCCCACAGTCCCTTCTGTGGGGTATAACCTCAATGACCTAAGGACCTCCAACTAAGACTTACCTGAAATGGCCTACACCACCACCGGAAAGATCAAATTCCCCAACATGCAGTCCTCTAGGGAGAACAAAACATATTTAAACCACAGAAAGAGTATCCCCTGGGAACTTTGGGGAACGACATTTCTGAAAGTATTTTTCCAAAATAGTAGGAACAATTTTAGTTCAGAACTATGTTAATGAACTTTACAATGAGAACAAATATGGATGATGGGAATACATATTTCAATAACATGAGTTACTGAAAAAAATCACATAGAGACAAACATGGACCTAAATGGCTATGGCATTCAATAGAACCTAATTTCAATTGAGCACTAGTTGTTCTCTGAGTATGCTAGGCATAGGAGAAGGAAACACTAATGAGGCTAACACTATGGCAAATCTCTAAACTTGTCCAGTCTTGTATAAAGGAAGGAACAATTCAAAGACTATACATTTTTAAAAGGAAAAAGATTATAGGTACATGCTCTTCTCACCATGCTATGTGTTCAAATATAGAGTCATCATGCAGGTTTAGGAAAGCGGCAGTTATACATTCTCCTCCAAATCCGTGACTTCACCAGCCTGGATAATTGGCTAGGTTTCCAGTACCAGGAATGATTTCCCTTGTGGTGAGCAGATCTTAAGTGTAATTAGAGAGCTTTTGGTTGCTGACTGCCAAGTATGTGTACCACTACTGCACCCTTGGGGTTATCATGCCATGCTGGACATAATTGTGGTTCATAGTTTGCATAGCAAGATAGGACTGTTGATTGTTTCCTTCCTTTGGAAGCTTGCATGGCACCTCATGAGAGCTAGTACTCACAGAGAATTTTTTCAGATCAGAGTAAGCTCAGGGACAACTAAAGAGTGCTGAGGGTAGAAGAAATAGTCTTCCCTGGGGAAAAAGTACAATTGGCAATCCAATATCAAATAGTCAGCCCTGAAAACACACACATACGTGTAACATTATACAGATTGGGGATGTTGTACTCATAAATTTAGGAATATGTTATATTTTGGAAGATATAAAATATATAATCAACACACACACTCATCAATCGGAAAAAAAGAGTCTATGACTTTGAAAAGGATCAAGGGAATGCACGAAAGGATTTTTAAGGAGAAAGAGGGGTAAGTAATGCAATTATAATATAATATAAAAAACATTTTGAGAGAGAAAGAGAGAGTGAGAGGGAGGGAGGGAGGGAGGGAGGGAGAGAGAGAGAGAGAGAGAGAGAGAGAGAGAGAGAGAGAGAGAGAGAGAGAGATCTAATTTCTTGGTGGAAACATCATCCCATGGATTTTAATTAATATGTCACGGTTCCAGATACTTGATTTAGATCAGCAGGCAATTTTACAAAGTAAAGAGGAAGAATCTTATTCTACGGCATAAGTGCATTATCTTCACTCAATCCCATGCACCTGTGTTGGGGCCTTTGAACGCTCTCAAGCCCTACCCGTGTTGACTGGACTTTGACAAAGATATCAGGTCTAAGAACCAAAGAACATCTTGTTTTCAATTGCGGTAGTACCTTTGTATTATTATTTTGTGCCCTCCAAACTCAGCAGACTTTGTTAAAGGCTAGCCGTGTCAGAGAGTGAATGAATAAATCCTTGACGCCCTACTGGTTCTACAGTCAGCTAAGAGAACATCTTGGCCACAGATGCTCAAGGAGTTCTAGTTTGGACACCAGGAACCCTTCATAAATACACAATGATGAAGAGAAAATTTTGCTATTAACTTGAAGATTGTGAAGTATGGTTGTTTGGGACTCAGTTTAAAAGGAAGATAATGATTGCACAATTTAATTCCTTTGAACCTCAACTTGTTTTGATCTAGTTTCACATGCAAGATAATTTACTTGTTGAAGTTCAGTTTCTCCCTAAGGAATTTTGATGGAAAAGGTGCTGTGTTCAAATGTGAGGTTTCTCTGCATTATAATTTTATTGCTACTAAAACACACTTGCACATTCTATTATTGGATACTGAATGTGGTGGTTACTTTTAGTGCAGAACCTCTGTTATGTTAAATGATAGACATAGTTGATATTGTAAAAAGAATAGAGAGCTATTTCCCAGATCTGGAAACAAACCAATCTTGGAATTGATTCAGTTAGCAATTTTCACCCATTTTGCAAGTTGAAAGTCCAACATTATAATACAAGCATATTAGGACTCTGGGATACTTTGCCTAATAGCATTGATAGTGATGGTGGATGTGCATCTGGAAACGCTATATGTCAAATCAGAAACTGAGAGAGATTTGGGCCCTACTACACTTCCTGAAAGCATGCACCCAGTGACTCATGGGTATTTGGGTATTCCATTAGGCCCATCTATCCAACACTGTCCCTCAGGGCATCAAGTTGCCTACACATCGTTCTTGGCTGGGACAAAAGTCATACTCAAATCATGGTACCACATTGGTAGACAGCAGGCCCCATTTTAGTTTAAAGCCACAACTTAATATATGGGAATGGTTTTATATAATGGGATTCAGTAGGGAGTGTATTTGTTGTAGTCTTCTTTTATAACTTAATTACTCATTTAATATGTAGTCTAGTAGTAATTTCTGCTTCATTTCATCCATCACTTCTCAATATGAGTTGTCCAGTTCCAGGGAGTTTTGAATAAAATTCTTGAATAGGAAATTCATAGCTCTCTTTGTCACTCATTCACATTTAATGCTAACTCTGGAAGGACATGTGTCTTTCTGCTTCACCTGTTCATGTTGGAAATTTGAAGAGAATGTTCACACAGCACAAGATTTGTGTAGTTCAGTGTCATGCATTCACAATCTCACACTAATGCTTAATTTTTTAAAGACATTCATCCATAGATGTATGTCATGTTCTCTAATATTAATTTTATCTACAACAGAGCTCTAGAAAGCCATCTGGCATTTTGAAAGAGCTTTGTTCTTAACTATCCTGAATTTCAAGGAAGAAATATAATTAACTAATTGTTCCCCAAATAATAAAGGGCAGTTTAGTACTTTTTGGTTAAAAAAGGAAAATAGAGACATTTGTCACTTCTCAGAGCATGTCATTTAGTGTAGTAGAAAAGAAAAAGAATGCACTCATATGATTGCTAGAGTCTAAAAATACATTTTCACAAGGAAATACAAATGGTCTCAATTTGAGGGGATGAATGACTAGGAATACCCTAAGTGACTGATTAAAATGATGTGGAAATTGTTCGGCCGTGCTTCAGGGGTCTTTAACTCTTTCTTGTAGCCCTGGGACAATTCTGGCTTCATTAGCTGCATGTGATCTATCCCACTTTGTCACAGAATGTCTGCTTTTTGCATTTCTACACACTACAACATGCGCTTTTACATCCACATCTGAATCATGCTGAGCACTTAAGGCTCAGAAAGCAAAAGTAAAACCAACTTGCCAGGAAATATATTGGGGTTAATCAGGCCCAAATAAATGGATCGATTTACTTCCATGGTTGTAGCAACTTCATAGGATATGGAATGAACTAAGTATACTATGTTTTTCATTTTGGCAAATTTCTCCTAAGAGAGAAGGTTGTAGGGACTACGGCACCTGTCTTCAAGTGTTTTTGAAGAAACACTTGTTTTTGTAGAGAGGGTCCTGAAGGCAATGGAAGAATGAATGGGTGGAAATTACAAGTGGGAGTAGGCTGGTTTAACTATATAATAGCAATCACAGCCATTCTGTCTTCATAAAAATAAGCTGGGCCACCCTATGGTGCTGACATTCAGATGATTCCCCTTCAGGCTGAAGACTCACACCACACACGGCTGAAACTTCAGGAACTTAGGATTCTGTGAGCATTTTTCCCATAAGAAGACACAGACACCTTTCATTCAATTTTTTGAAAGAGAAAAATTTAATATATTTTATCTTATTATACATTTCCTCTAAATTACAAGGTCGACAGCTGCAAATATATTCTGCTACAAAGCTTTCTGTAAGAAACATCTCTATAAGAAAATACATCTCATTAACATTTCCTGTAAATAAATTATTTCAAATAATAATTTTGAGAGGGCGAATATAAGGGAAATAATATGGAAACTAGATTGTAAGTGTTATTCCTATATAGGAAATTCTGACCAAAAAGTTCCATTTTCACGTTCCAAGCTCAGACAACAACTTTTGGCTTTTGGATAAAGTATCTTATGATTCTTTGCTCTAGAATACACATATGGAGCATAAACCATCAACATCCTGGCAAAATGTGTGTTGGAGGCTGAAACTCTTCAGGGGCTGTACTTAGAGATTGCACATGGGACTTCAGTAAAACAAGAAAGTGATGTGGGGTCTATAAGATCATAAGTAATGGCATGACAGCCTTTTGTAGTTTATGCTCTGGACATAATATTTAGAACTTTGTTAAAGCAGAAAGTACTAAAGTGGTTTAAGAGAATTTCTATAGATTAGAGATATATTGATCTCACTTGTTGCTCTCAATGGTTGCAGAAAACAGCAATTTAGTCTTTGCCAACAAAATTACGTTGAGAGGCTAGTATAGAAACTTCTGAAGGAATCATGACTCCATAGCTTAGGGAAGATATTGTACCACCTGGCTTAAGAGATCACATATTACAGAACCCCTCATATTAATGTATTTTAGAACCTCAAAACTATGGAATATATTGAGGTTAGGAAGGGCAAGTTGCATTGCAATGAGCTCATCTGCGTGGTAAATATGACAAGGAGAACCAAACCTATGGAGAGCTTCAAGTTCACTTGTGGAGATTCTGGTGTCAGCCATAAAAATTCAACCTGTGTTTCAGACATTTTATCTTAAATCCAGGACAAAGATGACGTTTCCTCTACTTCCCTGCGGTGCTCCACTCAGTACAAATGTCACTCAAGTCTCTAGTGTCAGCCTCACCCTACTGCTCTCTGGCTGTGCAAAGACAAATGTATTTAGCAGTCTAGTTCTATCACATGCAGGGTGTGTCAAAGCTTTGGAAAAACAGTGCTTCCTCCATTATTCAGTTCCCCACATGTGCCAGGCATCTTTAATGTTTTTGCAATCTGTGAAAATTCTGCCTGGTTTGTACTACACAATTAGGTAGGCATCACTTAGAAATATAGATATCATTCCTTCACAATGCAGGATCTGTTTTTGTCCTACATATATGTCTTTATTAATTCAGGTGAAGTGAAGTTTTTGAGAAAAGAAATGAGTGGTGTGAGGAGACACATGTTTATATTTTTCTAAGGTCTAAAAGACATGCTGGTATCTGGAAGTGATATGGAAAACATGGATGGCCTTTTTCTCTTGTCTACCAAGGCCTTTATTTGAGAAGTCAAAGCAGAGCTCAAAATTAAAAGGTGATCTTTTTGTGATACAAATTAATAATGTTGCATATTTTCACTTCCTGTTTATCATCTTTCCCATGTTTTAGAAATTATGTCAAGGGACAGTGAGAATAATTTATTGAACTATAACTTTGAGTAGAAACATGGCTTTAGGTTGTTTATATAGCCATTGCCAATCTGAAGAAAATGTCCCTTCTAGCCCAAGCCAAACTCTTGGAAAATAACATGGTATTTGTCAGTAATTTCCACGGTGTGTTTTCTTTTAATAATAGCATTTTCACAAATGTGTACATTATTTACATAAACAAGTTGCATAATGGAAACACTGGTTGTGCTTTAGTTGTCACTGTCTCTGCTTCATTCAGTCCTACTTCTCTCTTGTGCTCCTAATTCTTTCCATGTTCCTTATTCTTCTTCATTCCAAACCAGATTTCCCATCATGTCATAATGCATTAAATACACAAATTCACAGTCTGCTAGTGATAACTCTCCCATTGATTGTCAGATCTTCTGGCACACGTGGAGTCTGGCTTTGGAGGAGTAGGTAGCATCTTTCCACACTTTGCAGGACAGGCCCTTTGCACAGTCACACCTCTGGAAAATCTCCAGCCCGTGAGAACCTTTCTTGCGTTGTTTGGTACAGACTTCCCCCTGATGGAGTACTGGTTTGCAGATTTTGGTCCAGAAGTGGCGAGCACAGCAAAATCCATCAATGCAGTCTGATGATCGCAGACAGGGGTCTCCTTCATGTCCTACCAAAAGGAGTACAAGTGTGCTTGAGAGCAATATCTACTTTGCAATCAGAATCACAGAAAATGCTTTCACTTATATCATCTTGCATTGTGCTGCCACTTTTAATAAAGTCTTAGATTCATACCAATTTGTTACCACTTTAATTCTCATAAATCTATTTTTCTCTCATTCTATTATCTACCATCTGAATATGGTATTTAATGGACAGCTAGATTGTGTTCATCTGTCATAGTCTACTTTTTCCTATTTCTCTGTGTGCTAATGTGTGTAGTGTACATATATGCATGCTTTTTCTTGTGCATGAGTGCATTGGGGGGCGTGCAAGTACATATGTACTTGTGAATGTGAAGGAAGGAAGGTGATGCTGAAAATTATCTTTCATAACTCTCCCGCCTTATTCTTCGAGCCAAGATCTCTCAAACGAACCTAGAGCTAGCTGATACAGTTAGACTTGCTAGCCAGATTATTCTGGTAATCTCCTGTTTCAGTTTTATGAGACTGGAATAACAGGCAAGCTACCATGTCCCACCCAGTGCTTATAGGGGTTCTGGGGACTGGAACACCTGTCCTCATGTTTGCATGGCAAGCAATTTAACTATGGAGTCAACTCCTCAGTCTATAGTCTAACTTCAGTATCTTCCTCATAATTTTCCCCCCATGGGGTGAATTGATGGGGGGAGATTGGTTTCACACTAATTAACTTGATGTCTTTTCAGCTGGTGTAAATAAAGATGTGACTCAACAATGCTGAAATTTTCAGGGACTCTTGACATCATTTATCAGTTGAGTCCAGCTGTGAGAGCAAAATTATTAACATAGGTTATTTAATGCAGAGAATTGGTCACATGTGTGATGGTTGAACTAAGAATTGTAAGAGATGGATCAGCTGCAGGAATTTACTACCACATTTAGGCTGATAGACCTCCATGGAGCAGGTGATGTCAGCATCCAGGGGTTAGATTCACTAGGCAGAACCTAATAGTCCCACCTGGAAGCAACTGGAGATTGGAGGAAATATAGTCATACCAGAATACCAATGGAGGCAGGGAGAGTAGTAAATGGTTTAATCCTAGCCAAATGCATCTGACAAGAATTGCTAGGGAAAACACCCTACAAGAAGCTGTGAGACAGAACAACAGAGAGGCGACAGCCAGCTGAGGTCAGAGCCTTCAGGTTCAGCAACAACCATGAACTTACTTAAAAACTTGTGAGATAACAAAGCTGGTGGTGTGTGCACACACCAAAAGATTAAGTCACCAAGTAGCACCCTCCCACACACATCTTGGCTTCATTGATTTGTGTTTCAGTATGAGGCAGGAGTTGCCAAACTTTTCTGTTAGTTGCCCAACTGCAAATACAGTAGGACTCTGAGACTAAATGATCTGTTACAAAACTCGATCATAGAAAAGATCAATATGATTAGATAAGTCTGTGGTTTTACGAACCATTTTTTTAGAGTTCTTTTTTATCATTTTTTTATTTTAATTTTAAATAGCTTGTTTTCATGTCAATCCCAGTTCCCTCTCCCTCCCCTCCTCCTGCACTCCCCTTCCCCCCCACCCTCCCACCCTATTGCCAAATCCTTCCACATAGGGGATATCTAGAGTCTGTCATTTTACTCTGGGTAGGGTCCAGGCACTCCCCTAAGAGTCCAGGCTGAGAGAGCATCCCTCTTTGTGCTATAGGCACACGAAGACTGTTTGTATACCAGGGATAGACACTGATCCACAGCTCAGGGCCCCATAGGTTGCCCAGGCCTTCTCGCTGACACTCACATTTGGGGGGTCCAGATCAGTCCCATACTGACCTCCCCACTGTCAGTCGAACCATTTTTTAAAAAATTTGGTGATGCAGATTTGGTTCAAAGTCCATCGTGTGGCCTCCTATGGTCTAAAAAATTCTCTAGCATGCTAGATGTAACTAATTTCACAGCAAAATTTTGATGCAACTCAATAGCCATGCAATGCAAGATTTCTCTCTGTTTGCACTCAGTACATTTCATATGTAGTTGTATTGAAATAAATTGGTAGATTTTCAATAGTGCTGTGACTTAGATACCTATTGGAATGAGGAAGGACACACATAATGGCAATTGTACAGTAATTTGATGAAACAGAAATAAGAGGCATGGATAATAATTCAGGGTCTTGCTGGGTACAGCAAAATGGTAAGAGAAATTATTTGCCAACATCTTAAGCATTATGTGTATGATTACTGTTCAAGTACACCAATGGGTCAGACCTTCTCCTTTAGAAGATGAAAACATGAGGACATAGTTTTGTGGTGAGACAAGCTATGGAAATAACATGTTTAGAAAAGGAAACTAGATATTCACATCATGACTTTATCAGATCACTGCAGTTCATCAGTAATTCCCGAGAACAGGGAGATGCTCTGTTACAAAATTCTTTAGAACACAGGACATTTTTAAACACTTACATCTTTAAAAAGGAATACCTCACAGATACACATGGGGAAAGCCTCCTTTGTGTATAACTGTGTTTCATCCCCTCAAAAGTTTACTATTAGTAAAATGACTTCTCACTATTCAAGTTTGTTATTGGTGAGTAGGAGGAAGAGGACTTTATAGGGATGCATCACCCCACTGTAAGCCAACTGTTTCTCATAGATTGGTTATGGATAACTTGTCATCTGATTGCTTAGTGAAATCAAGTTCCTTAATTTGCAAAGGTGAAAAATGGCCATGAGTCTAATCACCAGCAGCAATATTTCTTCATGCATTTTCCACAGTGCTTAGTCTCTGATAGGTTTGAACCATACAGGTTTGTTTAGAAGGTTTCCTCACAATTTTCATATGAAAAAAAGAGGCATGCTTAGAATATGGCATGGAAGGTCTCATAATATAATCCTTCCAACAGTTCTATGAAATCTCTAGTATTTTCAAAATTTAAAATTAATAAACTCAATTTAAAATTTCCCGTTAGTGAACATTTTGATGATGGATTCATAGAATCAAAATGAATTATCTATCTATGTGTGGTGGTTGGAAGGAAAATGGCCTCCAAAGGGAGTGGCACTCTTAGGAGGTAGGGTCTTGTTGAAGTAGATGTAAGTCTAGATGGAGGAAGTGCTTCACCATGGAGGTGGGCTTTGACGTTTCATATATGCTCAAGATACTGCCCAGTGTCAGATCACTTCCTGTTGCCTATGAATCAAGATGGAAGAACTCTCAGCTCCTTCTCTAGCACCATGTCTGCCTGCATGATGCCTTGCTTTCTGCCATGATGATAAGGGACTAAACCTCTGAGCTGTAAGTGAGCCACTGCCACTACAATTAAATGTTTTCCTTTGTAAGAGTTGCTGTGGTTACGGTGTCTCTTCACAGCAATAGAACCCCCGAGACACCATGTTGTCTTTCACTTCCTTATAAAAGAAAGAATAAACAAACATGGTGGTACAGGTGGACCTACCTTTTATATGTGACATCTTGGTGTGTGGTCTTCCTAGATTCTGCCATCCCAGGTCATGATTGGAATAGTGACCATGGTTCCGATCTCTATGCCGAGTGCCATCCAAAGCTGGAATATGAGGGGTCAGGATGCTCTCAGTGACTGGGATGCAGATTCCTGGAAATGAGGATGTAAACAAATCACTTTAACTCTATAACCTGTGATATTCATCCTGATCTGAGTTAGGAAGACATTTATGTGTTTACTTCTTAATCTACCTATTATATATCTATCTTTCTATCTGTTAATTCATCCATTCATTCACTTATTTTTATGGTAGAATATTTTGACTCTGAAGCCAATCTTCCTAGATATGAATTTTTCCTTTTAAGTATCAAACAACAACAAATGAGGAATAATTTTATCATATTATTGTAAATACATATAAGATACTTAGAATAGCAACATGGTGAAGAATTAAATCAGTGTCTACTATTTCTATTTTTAAGCTATCTGCTCAGATATCTGTCCAAGGTCCTTTTAGTTTAAGAGCAAAACTATTTTGGTCAAACTTCTCAAATGGTGTGAGGTCTTTTTCCCGATCCCCTTCAGTTCCTCTCTATGCTACTCATCACAGGTTTACACCTAGAGGCCAGAGCAGGCATGGCAATATGAACCTCATTGTGTTGTGTTTTTATGACTAAACTTTTGCTTATAACCACCTTCTGCAATTACTTAATCATGTGTTTTCTGTGATTATTTTCAGCACATTATTCATTAATGATGAATAAATGTCTACCTATCAATTCATTTGGCTTGAGTGATGCCAGGCTACAGGTTAGAGTCCTTTGTACTTGATTGACCAGTTACCCCTTCACCCAGTAAGATTGCACTAGGAAATCTTTAGTATAATAACCATAATATAAAACTCTTGTGAACATGGTCAAGGGACTCACAATTACAATACTTGTATTGGTATTCATATGTTTAAGGGACAGAACATTTAGCGATTTTGCACACAACACTTTAATTTTGCAAGAAGCATGAAATCACCTTTCCACAAAGGCTTATGAGAAAGAGTGAGAGATGGGCGGGAAAGGGGTCCCTAGGATAAAGAGTACTGTTAATACTTGATGAGAACTTTTACCATTATTGCATCGGGTACCAGGGCAGCACATGCCATCTCTGTGGCATCGCTTCTTTTTCCTCCGACACACCATGCAGGCTGATGATCCTTGGTGGGGACTGTGACAGTATCTTCCAACTTCACATTCCTTATCACTGCTGCAAGGGTAGGCCTGCCATCAGATAGGACAGCACAAAACGCAAAGGGTGAGGCGCTTGGACACTGAGAAGGCACTGAGGCAACAAACCTTAAGGTAAACCAAGCCACGTTTGCGGTGTCTGAATGAAATACACCATTGTGTTCTGCATATTAGTTCTCCAGGATGACCCTTAGCTGATGACTTTATGAGTATTGGTTTTTGGTGGTGACAAAGATGAAACTGACAATAAACTTTAAAGTGAAAAAGCACCATGAATTACTCATGCATTTTCATTGGCCACCTTTGGATTCAAGATTTATACTTCATACTGATAGACACCTGCTGTAAGTGACTATGGAGACTCAGATAAAGGTAACTGTTGTATTTCCACTAATTGCAGAATACATAAGCAGTCTCACCACTCCATTCCCAAGATGGAGGAAGAACAAAACAGGCAAATGATTGTGCTAGAAGTTAAAACGTGTTATCTGCTAAATAAGAGAGGAAATACTTTTACGAAAATCTCACAATCCTTGACTGTTAAGGTAAGAACAAACTGTAGAAACTACCTGATATGCACACAATACAAAAAAAATAACAACACACCCAAACAAAGCAAAGGACATTGCCCTCATTCCTACTTCCTCCACAGAGCAACAGCAGTGTCTGCATATCCAAAAGGATGCTGGACTTCAATTACCCAGAGTTCTCACAAAGCCCAGCAAGCGTCTTCTCACATGATCTCCTCAAAGCTACTATAGCAACTATGTCTTAATTTTATTCAGAAAAGACTGGTTATTAACACATTTCTCTACCAGCAGTAAGTCCTGAAAACTTCTTGAGCTGTATGTGATAGTAACTTAAAATAGAAAAGTAAAATACTATTCCAGTTACTAACCTTGGCTTTTGGACGTTCTTGGAGCATTTAACATGTACATATTCAGAGACTAAGATGTCAACAGGATACTTAGACTTGAGCATTAAGATAGGTCTTTTGTTTTGAAACATTGTTTAAATATGTAGCCTATGTTTGCTGGAACTCACCATGGACTAGACTGGTCTTGAAGCTTAAAATTGCAACAATTCTCCTGCCTGTCTTTAAGTAGTGAGATTATGAGCAAGCATTACCAGGCCTAACCTCCATTTATTTTATTTTATTTTTTTATGATTTTAAGAGAAATATATTAATTTTTAACTACAAATGCAAATCATATTTTTGACAGCTTTGATTCTTGCTTTGAAGTGTGCATAGATGATAGAAGGATGAAACTGTGGATAAAATGTTGTGTGTCTAAAATAATTATTTTTGGTTTGTGTGTTTCCATTATGAAATCCCACTTGATGTCCTGACCCCACACATTGCTTATTCCTCCTCCTCCTCCTCCTTCTCCTCCTTCTCCTCTCTCTCTCTCTCTCTCTCTCCCTCTGTCCCTCCCCCTCTCTCCCTCTCTTTCTCTCTGTTCCTCCCCTTTCTGCTACAAGTTTTCCAAGTGTGTTTGATCATCTTCAATAAGACAGAGGAAGTAGAAATGAAGTTTACGTGTAAGTCTGGGGGAAAATGAATTTTGTCATCACTACAGTGTCTTTTTACCTTTGAAAGAATAGCATTGGGAATCGCTCACCTCACTTTGAAGGTGGTTTGAAATGATTGCACAGTGGCAGTTCCACATATACATAAAATAAATTTGTGTCATGAGCCCGCATTACGGTTTCCTAAGTTGACTTTCGAGAGTCTCAATGGGGCTGAATTCACAGCAGCAGGATGTTTTTCAAGAGTCCAGGACAAATGTCACTTCCCGCCTTGCCACACTCTTTCCCCCAAGCACTTTACTGTCCTCCTATTTAAACTCATTAATTTTAATTGAAACACAATTCACATGTTTCTGACTCATTTACATTCATTTCATCAAATTGTTTTGCAAGAAACATTTGATCTCTTACAAATCTTTCCTTTCTCAAAAAGTAGGACATGTTGTCTCAACAGAAACAAACATGTGCCACCTAAAACATCATGTGTTATTTACAACTCAGCAAATTCTCCAACAATTCTGAATGGACGTTAACAGTGGGTACCATCCATAAAGAGCAGACTACATTGGAGAGCCAAGTTAATGGCTAAATTTAGTCTACATATTCAGAAAAATATTCTTGGTTTGAAGAAGCAATGACACAGGCAAAGATGGTATTTAGGACGTCTTTAGCATGAAATGTTGTAAATATTATGTGCTTGGGATTGAATGCCCATACAAAAATTCTAGAAGGAATAATTTGAAAATTTTAAAGTGATGTTTAATAACTTTAAATACATACATGGCTTCTCTTAAGCTCATAAAACTCTTGACCGCAGTGAGATATCTGAAGTAAAATATATGACAGTTAACATACATACATATATTCCACAAATATTTTCAAAAGGGGGCAAAATAAATTGAATGAAGTACTTTTGAGAGAAGCAAGTGACATTAGGAGACATGCTTTCAAAAATTCAGTGTCTCCAGCACATATTTACTGAGGTATAAAGCCTCTTTAGCCTGATCATTATCAAGAAAACAAAACATAAAATGTAGGCCTTACATATTATCCATACTCATGTACCAGCACTGATGGCATCAAATCTCCGTCAAGAATTCTGGATGAGGTGTTTTAACACTAACACGAGGGTTCAGCCACTTGTCATTTCAGTGGTGTTCATTTGTGTTTGTTTTTCTATTATTAAATTGTGTCACAGCAGAAGAGCAAGGAGAGACAGGCAGACAGAGAAACAGGTGGCCTGAAGGATTGATTGGCATACGCATGAATTAAAGGATGACTGGTAAGAAAATCATACATAAATAAAACTGCCATTTAGAAACTGTCACAAGGAAGACTATTATTTCCCATTGACTTTGGTAAAAGGCTGTTCCTTGGTTCCCACTTGATGGTAGCCTTGTGGCAAACATAAAGTAAGCTTGAAAATCTTAGTCAAAGTTTCAATTTAATATTAATAACATGTTCACCTGGCACTTGTTTTGGGGATTTAAAAGTAAATGGCTGATAAGTTTCTTACTACAGCAATTAACAACAGTAGATTTTTATGGCTTTCTTGAGTTGCCCTTTAGACCAAGAGACTAGATAAGCAAGGTGTATGAGGGCCAGTGGCAGTCTACTGATAAAACAATGACAAAGTATAAGAGTCAGAATGACACCTGCATTCTCTCTCCACTAAAAACTTCCAGAAATGATTAGAAACCCTATATTGTCAGCATTCACAATTATTCATTATCCAGATTCAGGCATGGTTAGGATGTAAATTAATTAGGGACACCTAATAAAAGGAGATGATTAGCCATAAATTAAGAATGTATGAGAGCTATCCAGGATCAGGTTTAAAAAAAAACAAAAACAAACAAAAAAACCAAAGGCATTTGCCCATTTCTAGTCTAAAAATAGAGTTGTTTCTATGAATAGCTACACTATAGATCATTATAACCATGACAGGAGCTTTAAAAAATAGTATACACATTGGACACATGTTGAAGTCTATCAGAAACCAACATTTCTCTATAGTATAAAGAACTTGAAGTTCATTTCCACTGTGCTAGTTTGGAATAATTATTTACAATTTTGGCATTAAAATGAGGAAAAGACATTATGAAACATTTAGAAATACATAGTGTGATCAGTGGTAGAGAATTTGAGTGTACTGAACCTGCCTTGGCATCAGGCCTCATCTTGAGGTATCAGGACCAAGAATGTGTCATCATGACAGTTTTACACACATAGATAAGGCTGTGCATTGGCGACCTCTGTGCTGAATACAGAGATTACAAAAGTAAGCTTGCCCTGCAGCAGCCGTTAGAAAGACAGAAAACTGGAGGGAAACACAGCCAAAGCTATGACAATGATTCCAGTTCTGACCACAGTTTTAACAGAGTATAAAGCAGAATTATAAGCAGAAGTCCACCATTCAAATAATGATAAATAAGATCCTAAGGAGCAAAGCAAAATGAAAGGTAGTCATTCCATTTTATTTGAAACAATCGAGGCTTTTTTTCTCATTATTGTCAAAACTTCCAGGAGAAAGGGTCTATTAATTCAATTCTACATACAAGATTGAGGTTATTATTGTTTTTAGAAACTCGCCATCCTTTTGAAGATGCAAATGTAACCACTAGATCAGTTCCCTGGGATCATGAGGAATATTGCTTCAGGTTTCTCTTCAACATTGACCAATGAATAGACCTTTGGACACAACCAAACCTCCCACATTCTCAAAATAATGATATTTTTCCTGTTTGATGATGGAGGCAGGGGATAGGAGAGAAAGAGACAGAAACATCACACATTGTTCATGTGGGATGGCTGGCCACCCATCTGGATTCTTGCAAGATCGACCTACTTTTGTTGTTGTTTTAATCTAGACAGTCCTTTGTCCCCTTGAGCACTGTTTGTAACAAGCACGGAAGTTGGCTGGAGCCAGGGAAACATCATCAGCTGGGCAAGCAGAAGACAGCCTGTGGGGGTAGGGTGGGGACAACCCAGCTGTTCAATGAAAAACATTTGAATGGATAGGGGGCTTAACATGAAGGACTGGATATAGGAACATACCTTGGGGCTCTGAAGTCAAGGCACAGCAAGGCTGGCCATCACACAGAGGAAAGATAATTCCCCAGGTTATGACACTCCACCTGGTAGATTTGTATTTCCCTGAGAACATAGTGTGCACTACTGTGAAGACATGCATTTCAAAACTGTGTGGGAAAACTGCACCGTGGAGGTGCCGTATGGAATACACCCCAGTCTGGCTATGGGCAAAGTGCTCATCCAATCCTTGGTCCACTGCTACCTCTAGGCAAGCACCTTTGGGAACTCACGGGCCAGGCTGGGAGGAATGAGCTATATCACATTTGAGAGAAAGAGTTCAAATTCTCATGGTGTGCAGCAGATGGACATTTGGGCTCTTTGAAATAGCTGTTTGGCTAGGCACTCAGCAGTCAGCAGCCATTGAGCCCTGGTGGACTGACTACCAGTTATCTCCCAGGTATTTAGGAGCT